TCTAAAAGACTATAAGTTAGACATTTTACAAAAATTAATTAGATATATATGTTTAATGATAGATGCAGTGGCATCACAAGCCAACTTGGAATTCAGTGGTTTGAGCTTGCATATTTGTAGTCTTTCTCCCAAATTTGACATGCATATAATTTTAAAACTCTTCCTGTAACCTTAATAAAGAGAAATGAAATCTATATTTTGACAAACGAAATGCTACAAAATTTCCTACTCTGTTGGAGTAGCATTTTAAAATACTTGCTATAAATTCTACAGAATGATGGGGTTTTTCCTAATCTATTTTTATTTTTATGTATCATATTAGAAAAGAATAAAAGAGAGTGGCATTTCATTCTAGATAAAATGATGGCATATCAGATCTTAACATTTTTATTTGCTAGAGGGTTCCAGTTTGAATCTTAAAGTATGTTTGTCCTAAAATATTTCAGGATAAAGCTTTAAATGGTTACACATCATTCTATAAAGTGCTGTGCCCAAGATTGCGAATCCGAGAAACCACCGAGGAGCTGACACCGCTGCAAACACATGAGGGTTTATTTACAAGCTCGAGCCTGGGCCCAAGTATATCCGACACAGTGGAGCAGGGACTTGGACCCTGAGACTAAGGGGCTTAGCAACTTTATAGGGGCCAGTGGCCAATGGGATACGCAGAAAGTTGCACAGTCATGTGGGTCCACAGGCAGGTGGCCGATTGAATTACATTTTACCCTAAAGTATCCATTTGAACCGACCCATCACTGAGCCGGATTTCTGATTAGGGTGTGCCCTGGGCTTGACTAGGGTGGGGCAGTGCCCTAAGCAATAAGCAGGTCATGTGGGGGTGATACACAGGAGGTGGCGGGTGTAGCACAAAATGGAGTTAGTCCTGCTCTGCTTGTCCAGGGGTAGGGGATTTTTGTTAAATTTCCTGGGTCCCGCATAAAGCTAAATATAGATATGTTGTAGGGCCATCAGCAAATGGTCAAGAAAGAATTTTTGAGATGATTTTGGTGCAAAAAGATGCTTTTATTACAGCACTGGGATAGGACCCGGGGTCAGAAAAGAGGTGCATGTTGGCTGTAGAAAGCTGGTGGTTATAGGCTTGGTACTCAAGGGGGAGGGAACATGCAGGGAGTATTAGATCATAAATATCTTCAAATTTCTACTCCTAAAACTACTTTTGCAAGATTTCTCTGGTGCTTATCATTCAGCTTGATTTTAACTGTTGGTGAGATGTTACAGGCAGTCATGAGACCCTTTAAAAATGTAGCGACCAGCACATATTTGATCCTTATCCGAACTCTGGGGGTACTCTAGGTCAGCCTTCTGGGCTAAAGGTGAACATTTTTCTGCTGCTTTCTCTCATCAGACCTACTTTAAAATTCCAATTTGAAAAATTCAACGTTTTAGATTTAGAAGATTTTGTACAATTTTGCCAGTGTTCTCTCCTTTGCTGTTCTCAGTGACCTTTACCAGTTTTCTGTTTGTACTTGTCTGTTGCAGTGTTTGGACATTAACATGCCTGAAATTGACATCAGGAACTAGGTTGTTGCCTTTTTCCTTTATCACTTGCCCTAGTAAAGGGTGTGGAAACCTAGTAAATGCTAAATATTTCATTGTGTTAAAGTATGTGGATTTTCTTCTTCAGCTGGACAAAGTAACTTGTTAAGAATATGTATTTTGGGGTTGGTATGTTCACCAAGAACACCAAAACCACTTCAGGTACTTACAACAGAGAACATTTAATGCAGGAAATTGGGGATAACAGATAGTGTAGTGTTGCTGAGAGCCGGGCAAGGCACAGTGACGCAGAGATGAGCAGCAGCCAGAAGCCATCACCACTATGGGTCACTCCTGAGCCACGCCAGGGCTACCAACAGAAGCTGGAACCTTGACCACTTCAAGAGTAGCTGGAAGCTGCTGCCGAAAAGCAGAGCCAGGGAAGAAAGAGGAAAGGTTTTGGGGAGAAACCGTGGCTCCATCTCCCTTCACTACAGCCTCTTGCAGCACAGAGCCAAACAGTAGAAGCAGGGAGGGCAGAGGCCCAGACATGGCACTGGAGATAAAACAGCAGGAGTGAGAGGATGGATTCTATCCTCTGCCTTGATCGCCTCTGAACGTGTCCTGGGGAAAGTGAAAATCTAACTACACCAACACTCAGTTCTGTGGATCTGAGGGCCTTCTGGCTGGCTTCCTGGGTGTTCCCCTTCCCTTCATGTCAGCATACCTTCCCAAGCAGGTTCCATGTGGACCAACGTGGCCTTCTCTGACAATGTAGAACATCTTTTGGGGCAACAGTGCATGATTAGCTTGCATCTCTCTCCCTATAACTAATTTCTGAACAGGTGTAGAGTGCAGTCAATTTTGGAATGCCCTAACTCACTTCATCATCTTCTGATGATTGAGATAATCCAGCCTATGATACAAGTCCATAAAATGGGATCTCTTTCTCTCTCTTTTAGATATTGAAAGTATAGTGTGACTTCTGGGTCTTCTGAAACTGATCTTGGATGATTAATCCAGATTAATTCATGAATACCCAGTAGAGGAAACAGCATCAGTTGAGGAAGAATAAACATTTAATTGTTGCTTCCATTACATAATAAAAAGCAGTGTAAATATTCAAAAACATAGAGCCTCATGTGAGGTGCCCAATAAAATGTTGAATTCATAGCAACTCTATTGTGAAAGCCATCAGGACCGTTGTGATTTGACTTGAAGTTTAAAGCTGAAAGCTCTGAGAAATCTTCTAAAACAGTCCTTCTGTTGAAAAGGAAACTAGCATTTCTAATTTTCATTTTCAGAAGACCCAAATTAACAAAAACAAAATGTGTAAATCAACCTTAAAAACAACTTTTTAAAATTATAAAAGCTTTATGCCAATTATAGACAATCCACGAAATGGTGAGAGTATGTGTATGTGTGTATGTTTCCTATACCGTGAAAGGCCCCGGTTGTACTGCTGCCCCCAGAGATAGACTCATTCATTCATTCAGCGAATATGTATAGAGCACCTACTGTCAGGCATTGTACTAGACTCTGGGGAAATATTAGTGGGCAGAGCAGTCAAAATTTTTTCATTTAATTTGTATTCTCATAGGACTTTTGAGTGGAAAAGGAAACAGGCAATAAATATGTATGTCAGGTGGTAGTCCGTGCAGTGAAGGGAGCTCAGGAGAACAAAGCGGGGATGCTGTTTTATAGAGTCAGAGAAGGCCCTCTGAGGAGCCAGCATTTGAAATAATCTGATGGAGCAAGAGGGCGAGCCATGTTTTTTTCTGGAGAAAGAAGGGGTCTTTCTAGGCAAGGAGAATGGAGAGAAGTATTGTAAAAAGGTTGATGCATATTTGCTCAGATTTTTCCTGTGCATATACTAGGCTGATAAATAACAGTAGTTTACTCTGTACCTTTTCTTTTTTTCACTTAACAGCCTCTTCCTTTGTCTTTTTTTAATAGCTATGTAACATTTTATTATATGCATTTACCTTAACAATTTGACCAGTTCCCCATTAGTGAACATTTGGGTTGTTTCCAGTTTTTCAGTATTGCAGAGAGTATGACTATAGACATCCTTATGCACATATATAAGTACTAGCATGTGTATTTTTCTACAACAGTGGTTCTCAAACCAACTTATTTTTTAAATCATTTTTTAAATTTTGTCTATTCATTTATTTTAGAGAGTGTAAGTGGGGAAAAGAATCTCAACAAGAGTGCTGAGCCCAATGGTGGGGGCGGGGGGGGGGGAGGCTTGATTTCATGACCCTGAGATTGTGACCTAAGCCAAAACCAAGAGCCTGACACTTAACTGAGCCCCAACTCAATTCACTTTAAAAGGCTTAAGAAAATACTGATGCTTAGGTTTTATTCAGACCAGTTTCTAAGTCAGGATGTCTGGAGATGGGATCCAGGGCTTTTTTGATATTTTTTAAAAGTTCCTTGGATGATTCCAGTATGTAGTCGGGGTTGAAAACCTCAGCCGTAGGACAATTGTTAGCCGTGGCCTGAGTCAGTGATGGAAGACATCGTACATTCTAGTAGGTAGTGTAAAATTGTTCCCTGTATTAGTTAGAATTAGGAGCAACTGCCAGTAGTAGAAACCTTAAACAAGATAGCTGCTTCTTCCTATGAAATTCTTTACATAGGCAGTCCAGGGCTGGTGTAGTAGTTTTATTACACAGAGTCCTCAGGCACCCAGGTTCCTTCTGGCTTTGTTTTTGCTGACCTAAGGGAAATCTAATGTCAGGCTCAGAGAGAGAGAGTTATCGCTCCTGCCATGACATTAACGTTGCAGGCAGCACAGTGAAGGAAGGGTTGAAGGGCACAGACCAGCTCTTCTAAGAGATGCACAGAAACCTCCACAGAACACTTCTGCTTGTATCCTGTTGGCCAGGCTGGGTCCCAAGGCTGTACCCAACTGCAAGGGAAGCTGGGACACAGGCTTTCCTCCAGGCCACCTATGTGTCCTGTAGAAGCCAAGGCTCTGTTTCAGTGAAAAAAGAGGAGAACAGAGAGCCAGAGCTGCCAGCCATCCCTGCCCCGTCCTGTAAGGATCTGCCCTCTGCCCCCAGAACCTGCGCCCCCAGTGCCAGGACTGGCTCAGCTCCAGTCCGCCCAAGCCACTGGGTCACAGAAAGCTTCATTGCAGCGATGAAAACCTCAGACAGTATGTGGGCTTGGGGGAGAGACAGAATCAGTTCAGACTCAAGAAAGGGGTGGTAAACTTGACCATTAAGAGAAAATAATGTGTTGAAGGCCAGTTTTTTAATTGCCTCCAATTCCTCCTGAATCCGCTCTCAGGGGAGGGACCAGTTACCTTGCAGCAGGGTATCACCACTAGCATCCTTAGTCCAAACCCCACACACCCTCGCTTAAACATCTTTCCTGCTCAAGGAGGACCTCTTCATACATCATTGTTACTCAAATTGAATACTGTTCAATTCAGATACGAAGAGGAGTTTGACATGGGGATTTCCTTAACGACTGTTTTTTTGTCCTTGCAGTGGACGAAGGTCGCAGTAAGGAGCCCGACCGTTTGCAGGTGTTCCACAGGAAAGCCATAATGCCCTACGGCATCTATAAGAAGCAGCAGAAGGACCCAAGCGAGGAGGCGGCCGTGCTGCAGTATGCGGGCCTGGTGGGGCAGGTGTGCTCCGAGCGAATGCTGCTTCTGCGGAACTGACCGGTACCCATGCTGCACCCAGGGAGACCCCTGGCCTACCCCCAGTGTAGACGATTTTTATTTAGACTCTTCTATGGCTTTTCTAAAATATTTGTGGCAATATATTTGTGAGACTCTCCTGGTTAATATAAAGATTTTAAATATGTTGTGCCCTAACCTCCGAGTGGGGCTTTATCATTTTGGAAGTTTGCTTTATGAACAAGATACGGTATAAATGTCTCGTGTTACTCTTTTGGAAAGCAAAATTAATAAGTGGATCTTAAGTCATTTAAATCACCGTTGTGCTTGTTTTGTGAAAGAAATTACAGCAGGCTTTCCTCAGATCCATTTATGACATTAGTTTCTGCTATGAGACTGTAAAGATGGGGAAGAAGGTGGAGAGTCGGTTTTATCTCTTCAAAAACATCCTCTCAGGAGAACGAAACTGTTTTTACTCAGTTCAGTCTTACTGCCGAATGTTATATAGTTAATGGAAAACTCAGAAAAAGAAAATACAAACCTGAAAGAAAGGACGACGTGTGAACATCACATGTTCACTTACCCAGGACAGTCCCTATCGTGTCTGTTGTCTTGACATGCTTGTTTTATTCTAGAATAATTATTACTCTCATATAATTTTGCTCTCAAAAGTATCCCAGTTTGGACAACAAGATATATGATTATCCTAGTTGTATATATTATCTGCTCTATTTTTAAAAATCTAAGAAATGGAGGTTTTTGTAGGTCTTTGTTTTTTTTGTTTTTAATGTTGGCTCCTGCCTTGACCTAAGACCCATCAGAAGTGACTTTACACTAATTTTTTCATTCCTTAGAACTCAGGACACTTGCCCTTGGTTATTGATTAAAAATTAGTTAATATCTGACCACGTTATAGCTGGGCTACAAATCACGTTTAATGAAGCGTAGGAATCACTTTGACCTCTATTCTAGGGCAAGAGGTGGAGCAATCCATGTCTTGCCCTTTGATTTGGGAATCAGCACATGCTAGCTCCTTCTCCTCACCTTCTTCTGGCCCGTCACCCAGTCAGCAAATGTCCCTTGTCCACCACCATCAGGCTGGCAGGCACTGTGCTGGGGGAAGGAGGAGACTCAGGCGGATCAGGTCACAGTTAGGACCGAGTTGTGTTGGAGTCGATCAAGGACAGGGGAGGGTTAGTTTCCTCTGCTCTTTCTCAGCCGACCCCATCTGCTGCCGGCTGCTTGGCCACTGGGTTCATTCCATTCCCCATTGTGCTTATTTCCTATTGATCCTTTTTTAAAACCATATTATAAAACGTGGTACTTTGAAACCCACTACTGATGTTAAACTTTTGTCTCCTAAATGCACTGCATTTAGATGAGACATTAGAAAATAATTTCAGTTAGCTAAAAGAAGGATTATGAAACATTGATTTTAAAATTCAACATCCAGGGCAGCCCCGGTGGCGCAGCGGTTTAGCGCCTCCTGCAGCCCGGGGTGTGATCCTGGAGACCTGGAATCGAGTCCCATATCGGGCTTCCTGCATGGAGCCCGCTTCTCCCTCTGCCTGTGTCTCTGCCTCTCTCCTCGCTCTCTCTGAATGAATGAATAAATAAATCTTTAAAAAAAATAAAATAAAAATAAAAATAAAATTCAACATCCAAATAAACTGTGTATTTATTCATTTTTGAGAGGGTGTGTGTGTGTGTCTGTGTAACACCTGCTGTGTACAGACACATTGCCAACTGAGGATAGAGTATCAGGGAAAGCCATTTTCTCTGACCACGTAGATTTTTCATTCTTCGGGATTTTGTTCTACAAAATAGTCTCCCAAGAGTATTTGATGGGCTCTTGTTTGGAATTGCCTTCAGAATCTACAGAACTTTTTTTCTTTTGCCCTCATAAGTTGAAGATAGCTTAATGTTTTTAGGATTACAAAATGATACTCACTGTAAGCAATTAAAACATTAGTAAAACCACAAATAAGAAAGTAAAATATAATCTGAAGTTCAACCATACCAGAGAAAAAATTGTTATATGTCTACACACATATAATTTTCTTATAAATAGAATTATGTTCTATACACCATTTTGTGGGCATACCTGAATTGTGGAAGAAATTTCCAGGTGGGACTTGAGAAGTGTTACAAGTAATCTGAGTACGTGGAAAGTCAGCGCGGTGGGGTGGGATCTTGGTACCCTTGGCTTTGGAACATTCACGTTGATGCCACCTCATCACGCCCACCCACTTTCATCCCCATGATTGGCAGGACAGCAGCACTAGAGATCACAACTCTTGAGTATGCCTTGAAGAGAAAACTTGACTCTTACATCATACCACAACTCTGGTTTCGTCCTGCAGAATTCAGTTAGGGTTCCTTCAGAGTTCAGAGGAAAGTGATCCATCACTCCTGTCTGAGAACCGGGATGCTGCGCCTGAGGGCGGCAGTGGTCAAGGTTGGCTGCAGTGAGCCACCAGAGAGAGCTGGGCGCAAAAACTCTTCTGCTCCGTTACTGTATTCATGTGCTCTTCTTTTGGAAATAGACTGTGTATTGATCCTAATGAGTTAATTATTTGTTCTTTTGAGCCCTGGCTGAGTGAGGGTTAATCGCGTGCTAGGAAAGGACAACAAGGCAAGTGACCCTGCTTTGTCAGTCGACATGCAGTCTAGCTGAGAAATCTGCTTTTATGTTAATGGCTTTCATCCAAAGAAAGACACTCGAGAACCTTTCAAAGACAGTTTCTATCTTTTCAAGGCTAGAAGCTGTGTGTTTACTGTCTTAGAGTTGTCGTTCCTTTCTGGATGCAGGTAAATTCACACCTGCTTCCTTGTCTTGGGAGCAGAAATGTAATCAAGGTTTCCCAGCTGCCATCTTTATTTAAATTCTCCCAGTTCTATGAGATTTTTGTTATTTTTTTAAAATGTAATCAGCACTTTTTTAATATTCTATAAAAGAGGCTGTTACCAAATGAATATATTATTCATTTGATTAAAATTATTTAGATAAGAAATTATTACTGTTTATCTTTGCTTTCAGACAATGTATCCTATTTTTTATCCATTTTTCAAAATATCACTTGTGTGCTGTTTCTTAACATATCGGACTCTATTATGTAAATGAACCTTTTCAGATTTCTGAGCAGTATATGGTTTGATTTTATAGGCTTTATACTATTTCAGTGTGAATAAGAATGAGAAAGAATATGATCAGTTACCTAGAATGTGTTGGTGGTTGCTAACTTTAAAGAAAAGGAAATGAAATGGAAACATAATGTTTGAATTAGAATTTATTCAAATATGTATTCTTTTCCAAAAGAAAACCAGTGACTGTAAAGCAAAACAAGTTTGATTGCATGTGATTTTTTTTTTTGCTCTTGTGTATGCATTTTGAACAGTCCATTTGATAAAGCTTGAATGGAAAAAAATAAAGCTGTTTCTATCTCCAGTGGCTCCAGCTGGTCAGTACTTTTAAAAGACTTATGTTTCCATACTTTTCAGTTTTTTACTACATTTTACCTGTAGTGAATATGCAGAAAACATTGGCTATATGAATCATCGTATTTCATTTACAGTAATTATGGGAATTCCAGATCATTTGGTTACCCAAGTCAAAGCATGATGGATTGCTTTCTCAGGAATAAATAAAAATAAATCTCACTTTAAGTGAAACATCTGGGGACGCCTGGGTGGCTCAGTGGTGGAGCGTCTGCCTTCAGCCCAGGGTGCGATCCTAGAGGCCTGGGATTAAGTCCTACGTCAGGCTCCCTACATGTAGCCTGCTTCTCCCTCTGCCCCTGCCTCTCTCTCTCTTTCTCTCTCTCTCTGTGTCTCTCATGAATAAATGGATGAATAAATACCTAAAAAAAAAAGTGAAACATCTGGATTTCACATAAATTGGGAAATAGACATTCTTTTATCCACAGGGATTTGAAATAGGACTTAGCAAACTCAAATATAATTTCTCTTAAAAAGCTTAGTTTATAGAGAAATTTTCATAAATGTCTCATAAAGCAAAATTTGCTTTTATCATTCACAAATAGTCCACAGTATATTTATGGAACACATTTACAAGTGTTTTGGGGGGTTTTTTTAAAAGGTTTTTTTTATATATATATTTATTCATGAGAAACAGAGAGAGAAAGGTAGAGACACAAGCAAAGGGAGAAGCAGGCTCCATGCAGGGAGCCCGATATGGGGACTCGATCCTGGGACTCCAGGACCATGCCCTGGGCCACAGGCAGTGCTAAACTGCTGGGCCACCTGGGCTGCCCACTGTTTTGTCTTTTTATAGTGAAGAGGACCCTAGTAGGTTTGGGATAAAAATGAATCCTATTTTCCAGGTGATTTAAATATTGATTATAAGTCCCACTGACATTTTTTTTTTCCAGAATGGAAATAGCTTTGTTGTTTTTCTTACTTAAAGGGCACAGGGTTCACCAGGGAGCGCTTAGGCAGTATAGAAAAATATACTGAAAAAAATACAAGATCACTTACTATGCCATCAGTAACCATCACCACTGCCATTCACATATTTACATTGTACCCTTTCAGACTTTTTTCTACCTACGTGTATGTATATGTCTTGTTTTATTTTTAAATAAAAATGGAATCATGCCATGTATATTGTTTCATAATTTTGCACATTTTAATCTATTTTGAACATGAAAATAAATGAGGAAGAATATAACAGTTTTAATGGCTGTCCAATGATAGTCCGCTGTGTCTAGTTATCTTTTGAGAAAGGGAGCTTAAGACTTGAGCCCCCCCCCCCCCCATGGGGACTCGGAGTTGCAATTGACCATTAATGGTTCACACCCTGTCACGTGGTTCTTACCTCTCTCATAGCCCATTCCTGTGCCTTTCCCCAACAGTAGGGATTTCCTCCGAACTCAAAGGTTCAGAAAATGTGTAGCTTTCATTTATTTATTTATTTATTTATTTATTTATTTATTTATTTATTTAGTTAGTTAGTTAGTTATTTATTTATTTATTTATTTATTTATTTATTTATTTATTTATTTTTATAGCTTTTAAAACTTAGTACCACCTCCTCTCATTGTCCCTCAACTAAATATTTTCTGGGAGACTATCCTACCATTTTTACAGTTTGAATGCTTCTAAAATCTCCAATTAGAAAATGTCTTATTTAAAAACTTAGGGTTATTTAAAACAAATTAAGGTTCTGATTCATTGATTCTTTATACAACAGAGGCCCTTAAAATGGGTACCTGGGGGGCGCCAGAGGGGCTCAGTCGGTTAAGCATCTGCCTTGGGTTCAGGTTGTGCTCTCAGGATCCCGGGATGGAGCCCTGTGTCTGGCTCCTTGCTCAGTGGGGAGTCTGCTTCTCCCTCGGCCTCTGCTGCTTCCGCTGCTTGTGCTCTCTCTGTCAAATAAAATCTTTTTAAAAAATGGGATACCTGAAAACAATGGGCCATCATTAATTTAGCTAAGTTTTTTACTTTGAAAAATATGTTGGCTTTTTAAGATTTACTTCAAAGTAAAATTGCATTTTTATATCCACTTGGTTGTCACAGTTGGTATCTTCAGTCCAGTCCTGTTCAGGAAATAGTTTCCTATTGATGGTCTAATTTCCAATTAGACCAAGAATTAAAGTTGCTAAATATATTTTGCATGCCAAATTTTTACTCATTTAGAACTTCAGAATAGCTTGCAGATTTTTACACTTGGGTTTCTCACCACATCTCTCCACCTGCAATGTGAAGAAGCAATTCCAAATGGATGTGCTGTTAAACAATACAAAACCTGGGGTGCTTGGAGGGCTGTTGGGTAAGCACCTGACTCTTGATTTTGGCTCAGGTCCTGATCTCCGGGTCGTGGGATTGAGCCCCGTGTCGGGCTCAGAGCTCAACGGGGAGTCTGCTTGAGATTCTCTCTTTCTCTCCCTCCCCTTCTGCCCCTCTTCTCGTATGTTTCTCTCTCCTTCTCTTTCAAATAAAATCTTTTAAAAAATGAAACCCAGTGCAGCAAATCTTTTGTGGCATTTGTGATTTTTTTTTTAATTTATTCATGAGAGGCACAGAGAGAGAGGCAGAGACACAGAGGGAGAAGCAGGCCCCCTGCAGGGAGCCCGATGCGGGACTCGATCCCAGGACCCTGGGATCACGCCGTAAGCTGAAGGCAGATGCTGAACTGCTGAGTCACCCAGGCATCCTGCATTTGTGACTTTTTAAGAATTACCCTTTATATGGAATTCAATAATAAATGTTTCAGCCACCTCCGAGGTGGCTTCCCTCATCTAGTATGCATTAAGCAGACCATGAGTGACTTGCACAAATACCTGGTTCTTTGATCATTACAGTGTGATTAAAGCCAATAGGCAAAAAGTGGTTTCTAAAACTAGTTAATATGTTGTGTGCTAAAGCTACCATACCCAAAAGGTATAAATGTTGTACTTCCTGCTTGCATAATTCAACTCTGTGATTTTGGATCATGTTTCCCTCTGGACCTTAATTTTTCGTGCTTTTGCTTGTCAGTGCCAGGGTCTTAAAATCATTTAACACTGGCCTTTTATAAAATTTTATTTAATTAGCATTAAATGAGGACTCATGAATACTTCATGAAGTCCCATTCATCACACTTTGTTAATTCAGTATTCAGTGAGTCTGAATAGCATCTCTCAACTAACAGAGCTTTTTGATCATGAAATAAAAATAGCATTTTAGGTTTGTGAATTCAGAGCTTAAGGACCCTAGCTCAGTTGTATATGGACAATTCTACACACTTTCAGCATTGCCTCTTGAACAACTTGGGGTTGCATGGGTGGGTCCACTTCTATGCGGGTTTTTTTTTCAATAGGTACAGTACTGTACTGACAATGTATTTTCCTCGATTTTCTTTTTTTTAAAAGATTTTATTTATTCATGAGAGACACAGAGAGGCAGAAACATAGGCAGAGGGAGAAGCAGGCTCCCCACGGAGAGCCCAATGCAGGACTCGATCTCAGGACCCCAGGGTCATGACCCAAGCCAAAGGCAGATGCTCAACCACTGAGCCAGCCCCAGGCATCCCTTGATTTTCTTAATAACATGTGTTTTCTCCAAGACAGCATATTTTATTTTAGGAATACAGTATATGATACATATAACAGAAAATATGTGTTGACTGTTTATGTTATCAGTAAGGCTTCCCGTCAACAGTAGGCTACTAGGAATTAAATTTTGGGGGAGTCAAAAGTTATCTGCAGATTTTTTACTACAAAGGGGGTTGGTGTACCTTGAGATTCTCTCTCCCTCTGCCCCTCCTCCCATCTCAAAATCTTTGAAGTTAAGCTATGTGCAGAGATAATGTTTAATGAACAGTTTGAATGACTGAGAAATTAATCCAGAAATATTTCTAAAGTATTTGTGCTCTACTATTATTTCCTTTTTTAAAAAATTACTTATTTAGTTGAGAGAGAGCACAAGCAGAGGGAGAAAGAGAAGCAGATTCCCTACCAAGCAGGGAGTCCGACTCGGGACTCAAACCTCCGACCCTGAGATCATGACCTGAGCCGAAATCAAGAGTCCGATACTTAACCAACTGAGCCACCCAGGCGCCCCTATCATTTCCATTTTACTTTGCATCTCAAATTTTCTTTCAGGTTTCTAGTTCTAGTTACATGTTTATTTTTGATCAAGTAGAAAAAAGTGTTTTATAAATGTATCAGTAAAAATCTTTGAATCTATACCAATAAAAGGATTTAAATGCATCTCTCACAAGAAGCCTACCCCAAAATATGCAGTGAAGCTGTGTGCAAAAGAAAATGAGAAAAATAAATCCTCATTACACATGTCTCTTGTACCGTTGAATACACAGCTGGTGGTTACCTCACATGAATAAGTCCTGAAGACAGACTACATTGATTTACAGATCTGCCTTAAAGATTTTTTATTCCTTTACTATTGTATTTTTAAGGGTTATTTTGATTACTGTTGGTGTTTTTTCCTAGTACACTCTACTTCTGACCCAAACTGTATCAATGTCCTCAACATGAAGAGCTTTGTGGAATTTTCACTAGAGGCACATTATTTAGATATGGAGACATTCGTTTGGATTCACTTCACCAAACTGTTTGTGGCCACCCATGAGCAGAGCTGGCGGTGGGAGGTCTGAAGAAGCCCCTGAGATTGGTCTGTGGCCACCAGGGGCTCTGCACCGCATGCAGGGCGGTGCCTACAGGAATTCAGAATTACTATCTCTAGCCTCCCTGGTCTCCTGCCTATTCTTGAGAGCCACATTGTGATTTACTTAAGTCTATTCCATATGCTTTTTATAAGAAGGCCAGAGAAACATCAGTGTGTGGCCAACTGTGTGTAGTTATGAGCTCTGCATCTACAGCCGCTGGTGGTTCATGCTTGAGGTAATTAATATTCCTGATAATGTCACCAAAGATGCTGTCAAGGAAGTTTGGAAATAAAGGATCCAAGTTGGGAAGAGAAAGCCTG